CACGCTGCTCAACGCCTCCGACGAGAACAAGGTGTTCATCGCCACCACGTGCTGGTCCATGAGCTTCGACCAGCAGGCCGCTTACGCCATCCTCCGCGATGTCGCTAGCCGGTACCGTGCCTTGTGTGCGAGTGTCGTGCGTGCGTGTCGTGAGTCGTGTCATGTGCGTTGTGTTGCGTGCGCCGTGGGTCGTGGCTGATGAGACGGCTTGTCTTGGGTGGTGGTGATGTCGTGGTGCAGGGATTGCATCTTTGGCAGCGTGACGGCCCTGTCGGCCACGTTCGTCATCGACGTGTCGGGCTCGATGGACACCCGGTTCACCCTCAACGGCACCACCTACTCGCGCCTGTCCTACGTGCAGCAGCACCTGAGCCAGGTGATCAGCGAGCAGCTCAAGCCCTACCAGCAGTTCAACGTCATCATTTACAGCAGCGGCGCTCGCGCGCTCTTCAGCGCTCCCGTCAACGCCACCACCGCCAACATCAAGGTACTTACTACTTGACTGACTGACTGCCTGCCTGCCATCCATATGTCCATTCATGCGCACACGGCCTCACACACACGGCACACACACACACACACACACAACCACCGCACACGATGCCTTGCTGTTGGTTTCTTTCCCAACTAACCGGTTCACAACACATATGACAGAGCGCTCTGACCTTCGTGGCGGGCCTGCGCGCCGGCGGGTCGACCAACACGTACGCGGGTCTCCAGCTGGCCTTCAGCTCGTCCAAGGACACCGTCGCGGTCTACCTGCTCACCGACGGCGTGCCCGACTCGGGCCTGGCGCCGCGCATCCTGCAGGCCATCCCGCAGTGGGAGGCCCAGCGTGCGGCCGACCGCCAGATCCGCATCTTCGCGACGGCGTTCCTGCTGGGTCCGGACAGCGCGGCGGACAAGCAGCTGAGCGCGGCGTTCATGAAGCAGGTGGCCGCCCTCACCAACGGCGTTTACCGCAACATGGACCAGACCCAGTAGAAGCCTGTAACCTTCAAATCCAAGGTGAAGAATTTTACTCTCTTGCCACGCTTGCGATTATCATCGTGTGGCCCATCTCATCAGAAGAAGGCTTCAAAGGCTGCTTCCCTGGTCGCCCCATGCTCAACCGCGCGTCCCTCAGTTAATGACAAACTCACTTCGTAACTTTGATCGTGTGTCAAGGCGTTTCGGAGCGAGG